GGACACACATAACAAAGAAGACAGACTAAGACAGCCAGAAGCATCTGAACGATGAGTCAGTATATGGAACAATATGTCTGTTTAACTTGTAAATAATTTTTACTTTACATTACACAAAGGCAAAATAGATGTAAAAGGATTGGAGAGGCACAACCCTTGGTCCTTGGTCAGGTTGTGAACCATTCATCTAATCATCTGTTGTGACCTGGCTGACAATGCTCAACTTTTGTCACTGGATATTTCAACACTATCTGCCATTCACTGTTTAGCAGTAACCAAGCAACAAAGTGTCTTTTTATAATATCTTTAACAAACACTACCACCCTCTTTTATCTGTCTCTTGTTCTGCCTGTGATTCATTTCCTTCTTGATAAACAGTATCTTGTGTGTGATCAGACTGAAAGCTATTTTCCTTCACATTTGATTTGAATCTTCCAAAATGAACTGCTGCCGACAGGTGACAAAAAACCCATAAGATGCATGAGATGTCTGAAACTAAAATGTCAGAACCAAAATGTCCCCATGTGCTTGTGATCTGATGGAAAAGACACAAGGCGATTCTCTCTGTCTCACACCCCAGTTCTCATTTTCCTCGCCCATATCTTCCTATCAGAGATACTTTCACTCATAGCCACCGTGACTCTCTCCTCTCCGCAGTGTAATATTCCTCTAAAGGTCACAGCAATTGTCTGCTGGAGTAAAACAAGAACAAAAGTGATGAAACCAAGGATGAAACACTTCACACTTTTGTTTTGACGACAGAACAATCTGATCTTCTCTGTCTGACTTGTTCTCATATGTAGCTCGTTAAGTGTAGAGACTGCTCTGCTCGGTTACATCAGTAAAGTAAAAGTGTGTAATAGAGAAGAGAGCTTCAGACAGTATCATAAGTTATTGATGATATGATTGCTCTTTGATTTCTTTAGAAAATGAAGAAGATAATGGAACATTGTTAGTGAGTAGAGGTTAGAAAAGTACGTTTGCGACAGGAAGGTCAGCGACCATACCTGGGAGCAAATGCTCAAAAGAAATATGGATCTTGTATATCTTGAGATATGTGCATTTGATTCATAGTGAACCAAGCCATGTTTGTTCAGTAATGATATTACATACTGTGATGTATAATCATGGATTATCTGTGATTTTATTTCTGTATATTCAGCACTGTCAAAATTTCTGTGCAAATTACCTCCCACATTTTAATGAAGGCGGAGATCCCATGATGAAACTAATATTGTGCAAATCAAATTTGAGCTTTAATTTGTTCTTTGACATGGGATATATTTTGATGTATTGCTTTAAATTGTCTTCAAGTTAGATGTAAAAGTCTTTTTAAGTAAATGTGTGTGTGTGTGTGTGCATGTGTGTGTGCTCATATTGAGGGCTCAGAGTTGTCTCAATGTGAAAATCAATAAGCGCTTAAGGTGAATATTTTGTTTATTCATGAAAACGTTCTCTAGGTCTTTGAGCCTAATCCTTTTTGAAATGAATTGTGTGCAATTCTGTCCAAGTTTAAAAAACAAGGATGACGTTGGAGGCCCGAAAACCTAAAAAGCAGGAATGCATGTAACAATTGTACATATGTATGGCTCAGTAACGAGCACTGTGTATAATTTTCATTGTTATAATGTGATTGTTTTCTTATTAAGTGTGAATGAACAACACCATACATTACACTGTAACTACTGATGTGTTGACCCCACATCTCATCATTTGCTTGGATTTCATTGTTGAAGTTGCCAAATTCAACTGTACAGTTAAGTGCATGTGGCTGTGGGAATATTGGTTTCAGAATTTACCCAGAAGTCCAGTTCTTTCACTTATTTCCCACCTTTTTGTGCCTCCAGAAATTATTTAAACAGAGTTAATCAAAGTTAATCAAACTCCATCTAAAACGCTTTCAGCTTGAGCAGATACATCTTTGCCTCAATTTTTTGTCAATTTGTTAATTTCATTTATTTTGTGTACATAAATATAGCATATAAGAAGTAGAGTATTAGTAGTAGTAGAGTATTTTTACTGTCTGCTACCAAACAAAATCAGGGAGTGAATCCCCTCATGAGGAGATGATGAGGATGCAGTGTGAGGGAGGAAATTCTAACTGTGAGTTTGTGTGGTTATGTACAGCAGGTGTGTGCCTGCATGAATGAGAATATACACAAGCAGTGTGTGTGTGTGTGTGTGTTTTTGCGTTGACACATGTGGCTAAATGCATTTGCAAAAATTTTTTGAATCTCATTATTTTCCTTTGATGAAGGTGATTTACATACATGCGACATTTTACTACTCTCACTAAAGATAAGAGAAACTTTGAATACAACACTTTAGCTCCCATGTGTCCTATATATATTAAATAATCATTTTAATATATTAAAATGACATGGTGTTTAATTGTTTCTGTCCATTACAGTTGTAGAAATCAGAAAAGTCCAAGAACATGTTTCAACTTTTCATGAAAGAACCCATCCCTGAGATAATCCACAGAGTTACAGAAAGCTAGTAGAAAATTTGTCAGGCTCTTTGTATCAAAGGTAAATAGATCTTTTCCCCCAGTTTTCCCATCAATCACCTCTGGGATAAATAAATCCATCCGGCCATCGACTCGTCACCTGAAACCTGCTGCATTGGTGTACAGCAGAAATGTGTGCAGCATATGACCACCTGCTCAACAGTCACCCCAATCTCACACCTACTCTCCCTCATGCCCCCAAAAATCTCCAGATGGTGCAGCTCGTAAAATAAAAGCTGGCTTCCTCCTGAAGGTTTACTGCTGCTGCCTGCTTTCTTTCTTTCTGGATCAAATAATATCTTTGTTGGGGTAGAAGGGGTGTGTGTGTGTGTGTGCATGTGTTTTTTTTGCTTATGGTTGTGTTGTGGGTTAGAAAAGTCTTAACATCAAATCATCTACAGTTTGTGTGTAATTCCGTGTATGTGTGTGTGTGAGTAAAGAAAAAGCAAGAATCTCTCCATCAAACAATGTCTTTGCTTAACTAGAAGATGTGCGTGTGTGTTTGCATGTGTGCATGTATGCGTGCACGTACGCTTGTTTGAGTCTGTGTGTGTGTGTGTGTGTGCTGCATGTAAAAATCTTCGAATCTCTAGATCAAATAATGTCTTTGCCAGTGTTCAAAGTGTGTGTGTGTTCGCGTCTGGGTGTGTGTATGTGTGTGTGTTTCTCCCCGTGTGGGAATTCATTACCATTCTGAGTTTTTCTCTTTGTAAATAACCCCTTTGGGGGCTTCGTGTTGAGCCTTTTAAAAACTCATTAGGATTCGTTGTTAAGTCGTCTCCGATGTGAAAAATCTTAACATGTACATCTTTAAATACCCCTAATGGCTCCATTCGTCTTAGTGATCGCAGTTTAAATGCAGCCATTTACATTTGGCCTTTGCAACATTTAGGTCGTGGTAATGCAACAATACAGCTCGGAATGAGGGCAACCAGGAGGGAATCAAGCTCATTATCCATTGTTATAAGGGCAAAAAAGTCTTTTTACTTCTCTCTTCTCAGATGTTATTTTATTTTCTTGATACTTTTTTATCATAAAATCAAAAGCATTCATTTCGTTAGATCTCTTGTCACGATAATGAAGGTCTGGCCTCATTATAACTGGTGAAAGCTGAAGCCAGTCTCAAAGTATGTGAAGCTGCAGTGCCACCACAATAAAAATGTTCATTTTTAAAGCAATTTTCAAAACCTATTTGCTTTAAACAAAACAAACAATTAAAAACAAAGCTACAGGTATGAAGTCAATAAGACAGAAACCAGACACTATAACAACAGACGAGCTACTGGAGGCCACATTGGTGAAAAAGGGATTACTGGTTCTGATAGAAAGGTATCAGAACATTGCAGTTTGTTGTGTATGGGGCTGCATAGCCACAGACCAGACAGGTTGCCCATGCTGATCCTTGTCCACTGCTGAAAGCACCTACAACGAGCATGTGAGTTGATCAGAACTGGACCATAGCGCAATGGAAGAAAGTGGCCTGGTCTGAGGAATCACATCTTCTTTTACATCACAAGGACGGCCGGCTGCGTGTGTGTCACTTACCTGGCGAATACATGGCACCAGGAAGCACTATGGGAAGAAGGCAAGCCGGGTTCATGAATGGTTGGAGGAACTACAACAAAGAGTTGAATATGAGGGGGTGTTGACTTGGCCTCCAAAATTCCCTGATCTCTCCAATCGAGCATCAGTGGGATGTGCTGGACGAACAAGTCCAATCCATGGAGGCCCCACCTCTTAACTTCCAGGACATAAGAGATCCGCTGCTAACGTCTTGCTGCCAGATAAAACAGCACAACTTCAGAGGTCTAGTGGAGTCCAGGTCTTGACAGGTCAGGGCTGTTTTACCTGCACAATATTGGGCAGGTGTTCATAATGTTATCGCTGATCGGTGTAACGAAACATCTTTAGTTCTTTTAAATGTGTCTCACTGATGCTGTTATTCAGCATTATAGAGAGATGTGTTTTGGGGTGAATTTGATCACTTTAACTACGTCTCAGTCTATCACAGACATCCATAATGGTTATACCCTGGCTTCAGTACTTCACCCAAAAATAGATTTGCAGGTTTAAGTAGGTGGCTAAACTAACTTTAACCTACTTTAGGCTGCTATGGTTAAGCTGAATTCATCGGGGCTTTTAAAACAGGCTGGTTCCTCTGCTTCAAGGCATCACAACCACCAGTATAGACTGAAATCACAATTTTCACTACATAATTTACTTTTTTGTTGTTGTTTTGTTTCATGCTCAGCCCAGGGTGTGTAAACTCACACAAGTGAGTGAAGTGCATCCCTAATAATTGCTTAATGGTGATAGAACTGTCTCTAAGTATTTTATTATAAAGAGTACTTTCTAGACCTACTCTAAATGAAAAGTCTCCTAAGATAATTTCTGTTAGGATTTGGCGCTATATAAATGAAACTGAATTGAAGTACAATAAAATATTATCTTAAATAAAATATCTTTCTTTGTTTCCCCTTCCTCTGTGCAGTGTCGGAGCCAGCCTCATCTCAGACTGAGGCCTTCCTCCAAACAGCGGGTAGGTAAACACTTGAGACCTTGTTTCTGCTGTGTGTCTCTGTGTCCTCCACGCTGCAGGAACAGGATGTTCGCACACACAGCCGACTGTACAAAAAATCCCACATTTGGCTCACTGTACACAAAACAGTGTGTGCTGATAACTTTGCTCAAAACATGATAACTGTGATCAAGCAGACTGGAAAGTCTGTGTTGCTGCAACATTAGAGGATGTACATGCAGCTAATGTTGTGTGTTCAGATGTGATTTAACACTGCGTCACACCTCTTTATACATGAAGTTGGGTGGAGCCTTGCTTGGAGTTAGGTGAGGTCACCAAACTCATTGTAACCAATGAGAATGACAAAGGTAGAAGTTAATCTAAGGTGACCTCTTTGCACTCTACTGAATCTTATATGTTATTTATCTTCTCTGGTGATACAAAACGTTCAAGAACAAGAATAATTAATCATTATAAAAATTAGGGACAGGTAGAAATACAACGAAAAACAACGTATTATTAAAGTGTATTACTACCATCTACTTTTTAGAAGAATGCAGTTTTTGTCCAAATTAATGTATGTTAATGAAGCCTTTTAAAATGCAACACTGGAGCTAAATATCTGCTAGGGCCAATAAAACATTTAGGTGTTTATGAACTCATCACTAAAATGGCTATATTTGGTTATCAAACTCGTACTCAGACAAAATCTGACCAAACAGAAGACTGTTGGCAAGAAGGCACCTGTTATGTAAGATGGCTCTCTGTCAACCACATACTGAGGTGTGAATCAGAAAGTGTGTGTGTAGAAGGTTAGCAGGGACAGTGGGCAACTGCTGAACATCTTTGAAGGTGGCACATACATTTACACACACACACACACACACACACACACACACACACACACACACACACACACACACTCTTTCCACTCAGGACTGAGCACTGGAGGCCACTGCTTTGATCTTCTCTCTCTGTTTGACTGCCATCCTCCCTCCTTTCTCTTCTTACCCTTTATTGTTCAATGTCATCTTCTTTATGGTATCATATAACTATATTCAGAAAACCTTCATTAGCACAAAAACATCATTATATACTTGCAAACCATTTCTAATGCATCTGTACATAGTAGCTTTGACCAAATTAACCAGGCAAATGAGTCATTAGATCCGTACAACCAACAACATTAATGGGCTAATCCCCCCCTGTTCTTCTTTCTGTGTCTCCTGGCTAATCACAGGCTGTCTGAGAATGCAGCCAAACACATCTTTCATCTCACACTCTCCCTTAATTCCCTTTGTCAGTGTAGTGAGTATTAAACAAACCCGAATGAGTCTGTAATCCGGCGGTTTGTGTTTCACTGAGTGGCACTGTGAGGTTGGTGGGCATTGAGGGTTCGGAGGTGTTCGTTTGCAGTTACCTCATTCATGATCAAAGCAGAGGAAAGACACCCTGCGTTGATCATTTGAGAAGCATGGGGTCTGCGCTGGGCTTTTTTTTTTCTCTGGCTTGGTCTGCTGAAAGCCCATGAGTGCTCACGACACAGGGAGACAGGAGAGGATTCTTTAATGCTGGTGTTCCTGTGTCAAGTAACCATTCTGAATAGATGCTGATAGTGCACTCCTGCCTGTAAGTCGTACCTCCACTGTATCAACTGTGTGAAGATAAGATAAGCTAAGATCTACTTTTAATAATCCCCTGCAGGGGAAATTTGAGAACAGTATTACGTAGATGTATAAATAATATAAACACTGTATAGACACTATAAACAATCAATATACAATACCAATAATAATAATAATAAATTATAATAATAATGTAAAATCTGATACAGTCTTGTTAATTAAAGTCTTGTGATTTTCTACATGTTTCGATGTAACCAGACCTTGTTCTATTAATAGTGGATGAGCAGATACTGTGTCTTCTTCTGCTGTCCCATAGACCATCGTTGTGGTCTGTGGGACAGCACAACTCAGTGAGCCACACTGTTACACTTCAATCATATCTGCTTGTCTTCACTAAATATTACTGCTCCTCAAAAGGTTAGGCCTACGTCTAAAGCTAGTAAGCAACCCTGGATAAATGACAGCATTCGCAGCCTAAAAAGGGAATGCAGGAAAGCAGAGCTCAGATGGAAAAAATCCAGTCTCAAAGTCCATTACCTCAGTCTGAAGGATTTATTAATTAACTACAATAACATGGTTAAGGATGCGAGAACACACTATTTTTCTGAACTCATTACTACACATAAACACAATCCCAGGTTTCTGTTTAAGACTGTGGATCAGCTGGTAAACCCAACCCCTCCTTGTGCCTCAGTTGGAAGTAATGATGACTGTGAATTGTTTTTATCTTATTTTACCAATAAGGTGGTGTCAATCAGAGCCTCTATTACCCCCACGGCCTCTTACTCAGAGGTCCCTCACCAGCAACAAGAGAGTTTTAACCAGTTTTTTCCCATCGACTTGTCTGAGCTTTTAAAAACAGTATCACAAATGAGGTTTTTTAGGAAGTACCACAGCACTGAGACTGCCCTGCTTAAAGTCACCAATGACCTTTTAATGTCTGCTGATGAAGGCATGTGCTCAGTCCTGGTACTCCTGGACCTTAGCGCTGCTTTTGACACCATTGATCACAACATCATGTTAGACAGACTGAGGCACTGGGTGGGGATCTCTGGTACTGCCCTAGAATGGTTTTCATCCTACCTGTCAAATAGGAAGTTTTGCGTGTCTGTAAACAACTATGTCTCTTCGTTCTGTCCAGTTAAATATGGTGTGCCTCAGGGGTCGGTCTTAGGACCCATTTTGTTTTCCTTGTATCTGCTTCCCCTTGGACATATTACCCATAAACATGGTATTTCTTTTCATATTTATGCTGATGACACACAAATGTACTTGCCCGTCAGATCCACAGACCCTGGAATGCTGAGTTCACTTACCGACTGCCTTTGTGAAGTTAAAAAATGGATGTCAAATAATTTCCTCCAGCTGAACTCAGACAAAACAGAAATCCCGGTCATTGGGTCCCAGCAGATGGCAGATGGTTCCCTAGTAAATCACATTAAGCTTGTGGCAAAGAACCTTGGTGTCTGGTTTGATAGTAATTTAAATTTCGAGCAGCACACCACAAAGCTTGTTCAATCATGTTTTTGTCAACTTAGAAATATAGCAGAAATTCGATCTATGTTAACTTTTAAGGACACCGAGATCATTTTACACACCTTCATCTCATCACGCCTGGATTATTGCAACAGCCTTTTCACTTGTTTAACCCAAAAATCTACTGATCGACTCCAGACTGTCCAGAACTCAGCTGCCAGGCTTTTAACCAGAACAAAGAAATATGACCACATTACTCCTATTTTAGCTTCATTACACTGGCTCCCAGTATGTTTTAGAATTGACTTTAAAATTATATTGATCACTTTTAAAGCTCTTCATGGCCTCTCGCGTTATATTTCTGACCTTATAGTCCCATAAACACCAGCACGTACCTTGAGATCCTCGGGCAGAGGTCTGTTGTCTGTTCCAGAGTCTCGACTGAAAACTAAAGGGGACAGAGCGTTTGCTGTCAGGGCCCCGAGGCTCTGGAACAGCCTGCCCGAGGAAATCATCTCGGCCGAGTCAGTGAACTCTTTTAAGTCCCTTCTTAAAACATACTTTTATAGGAGAGCCTTTCCAGATCTTATTTGACTTTATTTTATCCCTTTTATTTTATTCTATTTTACTTATTTTATATTTATCTTAAATGTGTATTTTGGTCTTTTCAATGTTTTCTTGCTTGTATTGTTGGCTTTCCACTTGTTGAAGCACTTTGTAACTTGTTTTTGAAAAGTGCTCTACAAATAAAGATTATTATTATTATTATTATTATTATTACACTGGGTGACATTACATTGAACATCCACACTGTAGTTTAAATCAATCCCACATACACCATCCTGCTGCTATAAATGCTTAGAGCACAAAATGTAGATTAATCTGCTACTGAAAATAGTCCTCCCAGAAGTGCACTATATATTACTGAAAACTGTTCAGTGCCCAGCTGTTTTTTTTTTTTTTTGTATTTCTACACATAGCTCATATGCCATGCCATACAAGCATTTTTGTATTTATTTTAACATGTCTTCATACCTAAACAGAGAGAATAGGCTGTTTGCCAATAACCCCCAAAATGTCATATATGACCATTGGAAAGTACCAGCAACAGGCGTACCACTCTATCGTCGTCGTCATAACAATAAACACATGGGTACATGTTGGGAAAAGATCATGATTGTAATTTAACTTACGCAACTTCAAATAACTCAACACTGACTTTTGGTTTCACACAGGACACAAACCTCAATCCACCCTTGCCTCCTCCATATAAGGATTTTGTTGCTCTTTAAACCACCTCACCTGACTTCTTGTAATAAGTTACTTTTTACTTAGTACTCCTCCTCCCTAATAAGTAAAGTAATACTATTACTTTACTTATTACTGGGTATTAACAGTAACTAGTTATGTTTCTCATTTTGTTAAGACATTACTTTCACCTCCCCTCCCACCACCACTTTACTGGAACAAAACAGAAAACACTGCAGTCTCTCAGACCAGATGTTGCTTTACAGTATAGGCTATAGAAATATTAAAAAACAAAGCAAGTGACGACAATGTTCTTTGCCTCTTAGACTGTGACACAATAATGGCAAAACTTACAACTGTGGAAAGAATGCTTTCTCCTTCGTTCTCCATTCTTCCTTTAGCTTTTTGGCAAACCGCTGACTTGAATCATATAATTAGGTATCTGTCGAGAGCCTGTGATATTCTGAACTATGTTGAGCAGCTCATAAAAGTATGTTTTTAATATTTAAACTAAAAATCAATACATTCTTAGATCTTGCAAAAAGAGACCAAATGGAAGCACAGATCAAAGAAGATAGCTTTACCCTGTTCTATCCATGAAATTGACATTGCTTAGCTTTAATGTATATTTGCATATACTGTATATGCAGGGTATGTTATACTGCAGGCATT